TCCGTAGGACCTCCTCCATCTGCATTGGGTCCCGATCCGCCTTGATCTCCAGCTTCATAGCAGTCCTGTTGTACTGCAAGTAGGGGACGGTGCCGTCCTCGTTGATGATCATGAGTTCCTGAGCCTGCTTCCGGGCCTCCTCTGACGTTATGCAGGATTCCAGCCTTTGATGCCACACCGTCATGAACCGGTTCAGAAGGGTGGCCCTCAGGGACAGGGTGAGCTTCTCCGGGCTGTTGGTCTTGGTGGTCTGCCAGACCTCCGTTGTTTTGTGCATCTCTGACACCATCGACAACATGCCTTGTGTCTGGCAAAACATGATGAAGCCGCTTTCGGTTCGGCTCACATTGTGTTGATCTTCGTGACGAAGAAGGAGTTGAGCCATGGCCTGGCAGAGCTCGGTCATGGTCTCGGTCTCGTCCTTGTCCGAGGATTTCTTCTCCTCCTCGGTCCACCACTTGTTGCCCCAGCCAGCGCCTGAGCGACGATTGCTCCAGGAGCCCTTGGCCTCGTTGCGCGGGAGCTTGGAGCCCTTGCCCTGTCGGCGTTCTGGCTCCTGGTCCTCCTCTCGAACTCCCCTCTTGTTGTCGTTCCCGGCTCCCGCCTGCATTGGCTCTTGGCTGCCCCGTGCTCCAGCCATCCCCAGTGACGCCGGTGTGGTCCCGGGATTCTCCATGAGACTCTTCATGAGATTCGCCTGGTCCTGGGCTGCAAGCATCTCCTTCTGCTGTTCCTCCGACATCCGAAGAGCCATGGGGAGGAGCTGGATCCTGCAAGATATGCTGTTGACACAACAAGAAGAGGATGCCTGTGCGCACAAGGACAACACAATGCTGTGCATGTTTAGCCCGACTGACGTGCTTGGCCTGAAAGGGCACGTGGCACCACTGGCAAGGACTATGCACCGTTGAGCGGCGTGCTTCGAGCCACGTCTGGAGCCGTTCGAGCATTGGCTTACATTCACTATGTTGGGCTGCAATGTGTCTCGTGAGATACTGCGGTCTCGCAAGCCACTGTGCACAGAAAGGACAATGGTGCAGCTCGTCTTGTTGACACAAGTGCTTGGCTAGCTTTTGCCAGTCACCCTGCTGCATTACAGTGCGAGTGCGCAAGTCGATGACCTCGAAAAGTTCTGAAAGATTCTGAGACGAGAGGGCCGTTTGCTCCGAAGTCTGCACACTGGCATTCTGAGGAGCGCTGAGCCCATCAGATTGTGGTCTGACATCGGCGGTTTGATTAGAAGCCATAGTACCGGTGTCACGATCAGCTGGTGTCTGCACCTTTGCAGTGTTCTGCTCTCCAGAGCACATACCGGCCTCATCAGCGTGCAGAATCGGGCATCTGAGCTTCTCAAAGTGTTGACAGAACGCCGGCCAAGACGCGAATTGCCAGTCACAATGCTTACAGGTGGGCAGACCTTTAACAGCGTGCTTCATAAAGTCTCTCCTCATTTGCTGCTGGGTTCTAGGGGTCTTAGGGCACAGAGTGCTAGCAGGCTTGTGCTTTTGGGACATGAGCTGACGCAGCGTCTTGGCTGATAGAAAGTATACGCCACAGGCCGGGCACGCAACCGGTCGAGCACATCTTCTAACTTCCTGTAGTCTGGTCTGTGTTTCATGTGCCAGGATCCCACTATTTCCTAAGGAGGGTGTTTGGGCAAGGTCAAGATGTCCATCTAGGTGACGACCTAGATAATTCCAGCGTGCTTTCACCATCTGAGGCTGCAATGTACTCATCTGACCTGTGCTGGCCTGATGGACACGCTTGCACACCCTCTGCTGCAAGTCACGAACAGGGTCCGGTATGTTGAGTCGCTGCAGTAGAGCCCTCGAGGTTTCATGGGTAATGTGGGAAGGGGACTTGGCCAAAAGGCGGGCCTGCTTGGCTACCAGTTGTCTGAGCAGCTCCGGACCTTTCTGGCCGAGACCTGTGCAGTCTAAGCCATGCATCAGTGTGGCACGGACACAGGCTTTCCACACTAGTACACGCTGTCGCAGTGTGAGGCTTGAGCTGCGTAGGGTGGGAGCAAGTCTGTTAAAACTACTCCAGGATTCCTTGATACGATATTTGAGCGTAGCAGCGGCAGCATTGCGATACGTAATTCTCACTCCTAAATAGGTGTGCGTTTCCACAATCGGCAATTGTATAGGGCCCGTCTGGGTCTCAAGTCTCACAACTTTGCCTTTGGGATTGCGGCTGGTATGCTTGCGATAGAAACCCTTGACACTGGAACCTTTGACGCCGATAATAACCACAGACTTCCCCGGACTCAGACTAAGACCAAAGGATCTGAGAGTGTCACATATATAGCCAATGTCTTTAATCACAGAGATCAGTTGTGCCTCACTCTCGACAATCCACTGAAAAAGCCAGTCGTCTGCAAAGACAGTTGTGCCCTCCCAGGGGATGCGCTCCTGTAACCTGCTCAGTATGACGCTAGTGAACATAGCCCAAAGAGTGGGTGCTAAGCCACATCCTTGCCTTACTCCGTTGGTGGTAGGTATGGATGAGGATTCCCCATTGTGGGAGAAGCGCATGCAGGCCTGTCTATGCAGTTGGAGTATGGCGTAGCGGATCTCTGGTTCAATGGATGCACACTCCAGGGCTGTGGCCAAATGCTTCCTGTCCATGCAGTCGAAAGCTTTTCTTAAGTCGACGGAGAACGTGACTCCGCCCCGGCAGGGAAGGCGGGAAGGGGGACATGCCCCTGTTGTCGCAGGTGTGGAGTCTGACGTTGTGTCTGCAGTATTGCCTGTACCCGGGCGAAGTGAGACAGCGCCCTGTCAAGGGCATCCGCCACGCCTCTGTGTGGCATGTAGGCGAATTGAGGCTGATCCGCCAACATTGCCAAGGCTTTCGGCTGGATCTTGGGTCTGAGGAATTCAGCTTTAAGGGGTTTCTGAGGCTTCGGCATCAAGAAGATGTCAGCTATGTGCCACTCCTCCGGAGGTGGCTCTTCCATCCTAGCTAACCACTGATTCAGTTTCGGAAGGCTGCGGTAGGCAATGGTGGAGGCAGCTGCTCTCCACAGGATAGCCGGCGGCACACTCGGTGGGAGCGCTTTGTTGGCCGGAAGAGCCGCAAGAGCATCAGTGAGCTCTGCCAAAGTAATTTGGAAGGGTTGCGCAGGGGCTGTGATGGGCTCCAATGAGGAGGCTGTGTGCTGATTGTACAACTCATGAAAGTAGTCCTTGATGGCGTGTATTGTTTCCTTATTGCTGAGAGGCATGCCATTCTCGGCCTTCAGCTGCAACCTTCTCTTAGGAGCTTTGGGCGCGATGCTCTTCACCAGTTGAAACACTTGCGTGAGACCCTGGGGGCTACGGGCAGCCTCCAGGAGGAGCCGATTGACGCGCTCCCGTTTACGCTTGCGGCATTGATCCCTGAGCTGACGTTGCATCCTTAGAAAGAGATTCTGCGCTTGCCACAAGTCAGAAACGGCGCGCAGGTATCCCGGACTACGCATGGCTCGCATATGCTGCAGACGCCTAGCCATCGAGGCCACCAGCTTTCTCTGTGCCCACATTGCTTTGACTGATGCAGCTGGTGCAGATTCTTGCTGAGCAACAGGCGAAGGCGGGTGGATGGCAACGCTCTGCCAGCTACATACCACGAGTTGGTTGACGGATAATCCTAACTCCTGTGATGCAAGAGTCTCAACCTTATCACGAAAGTGTGCGAGGAGTTGGGGTTGGTGCTTACACGCTGACGTTATCCTATATCTTTGAAGTTGGACGGTGTTGGGTCTAGTTCGTGGAATACTCGCTTTAGGAAGACTACCCAGGATCGGCTTGTGTCGCATGCCCGTGTGTGGCACAAAGGGAAGCTCCGCTACCTGGGCTTGTCTGGCTAGCTGGTCGCACTGGCTTGCACGAGCTATTGCGAAATCGATTTGGCTGTAGCCTTTCTTGGTCGCTGGACAGTAGGTGCAGGACCTAAGACCCCGATGGGACCAAGTGTTTAGGGCTACCAGAGCGTGATTTCTAAGCAGATCTTGGAGCATGTGGCTGTCAGTGGCGTGACTGCAGGTGGGAGAGGTAGGCACACCTCTACCTACCATGGAGCCCTCTTTAGCCAGCCTAGTATTAAAATCTCCTAAGAGAATCAGCTGATTTCGCCTTGGCAAATTGGAGATCAAAGTCCCCAGTTTGGCCCAAAGCTCGGCTCTGCGAGCCAGCACAGATTCCTGGGACACTGAGCGGGCTCCGGTTTTGCGCGACTCACTCCAAGCGTATTGATATAGCACTATGATGATGTCAATGCATGGTTCGGCTTCGATGCGCACATGCATGAGCCTACCGGGTACATGGTCGGTGTGCTGTATGATATGCATGGGAAACTTTTGGGTGTTCATCATGACCAGGATCCCTGCTTCAGATTTAGCGGCTCCGCAGTGCATTGCATAGAACCGGCCACTTCTATACTCAAGAGGACCCCGCCAGTGCGTCTCCTGTATGGCAACCAAGTCAACGTGGCTCCCTGCTTCGCTGCAGAGCCAAGTCTGCAGTTCAAGATATCTATCTGAGGTGAGGCTACTTGCATTCCAGGATAGATAACTTAAGCGTTGTTGTCTTCTTCTGATACGGGCAGGCTGAGGATGGTGGGGAGAAACTTCTTGAGGGGCTGGTGGTTTGACGCCGAGCTGCTGTGCAGTAACCCTTCTTCCCTTATACATGGCTGTGCCACTTCGCATGGCCCGTTGCTGTGCACGAAGGAAAGCACGCTTGCGCACCGTTTGTTGGTGCGCTGGTTGCAGAAAAACACCGTTGTGGTTTGTCCAACCACGAAGTCGCTGTTGACTGTCTGTGACGACTTCAGGAGGTTCCAGGTGGGGAGAGCCTCCAACCCTCACGTCAGTAGCTTGACAAACTGCTTGGGTACTGTGCAGCTGGGTAAGAAGTATGCCTAAAAACAGACCTCTACTCCATAACTTAGTTTGCAAACTACCCCTGGACTTGGGACCAGGTTGGCCTTGCTTAGGGTGGGAGGCCAGGCTACAGGCAGGAGGTTTGAGCATAGGTTGGATCCGACAGCCTACCAGCAAGCAAAGGAGAGCTATGTACAATATATACAGGCACTCACTCGCAGGCCTCAGCAGGCGACGAAGTCCTTTCCCACAAGACTGGCGGCGTCTTCGTCTTGGTGTCCTCGTTCTTCGTAGAGAGCCCTGCAGGGCTCTCCACCGTCGCCAAAGTTTGTGCTTGAAGCAGTGGATCAGTTCAGCGCCCCGTGGAGGAGGCACTCTGGTTGTCCGCATTGGTAAGATCATATTCCTGAATCCACTGCTGGAGCTTCCTCTGGTTGTCAGATGTGAGCAGCGGCCATAACAGCCTGATGGAGGCAATGTAGAACGCATTCTCTGACAAGCTGGTATGTGCGCTGACGCTGCTCCCACTCCCGCTCTTTCCTGCAGGCTGTCGTAGACGAGCTTGCGCATCGCCTGCTGCAGCCTGTGTCGCGGGGGAAGCCGCGCTGTCCCAAGCCATCTGAACCATTCATGGTCATTCTCCGGTATCGGAGTTGCAAGCATAATTCGTATGGCTGCCACCATGTGTTCCATGTCCATTCTGCGTTCCTCATTGACGATGCGGTCGGCCACCGAGGCTTGGAAGTAGCGTACATCGTCATGTTCACAGCGCTTCCAAAATTCCCGGCGTTGTGCGGCCGCCTGTCGTGGTTGCAGTAGTGGCCTGGCTCGTTGGTCTTGCTCAAGGTGCGTCCAGCATAGCCGTCGCACCAGTTCATCCACAAAGG